GTATTTACCACGTCACCAAATCCATATAGCAGCTTTGTTTCATTTTACCCACTTTAATAGATGATCGAATCCCCTATCCTTGCACAAACCGTAGGGTTTATCATCCATTCGAATCCAATGGTGAAAGAATGATGCATGAAAATTTGTCATATAAAAAATCAATGATATATGCCAGATGATTTCCTATGTCAGGCAAAAATGAGCATGCAAAAGAATGCAGACAATCACAAGCACTCGAACGCAAATAATCGAGAGAAACCAAGAGGTTTATAAAGATACATTTTGCAAAAGAATATTCGTAAAGAAAAATACAAATTTGGCCAACGAATATCATATTCAAGACTTTGGATATATTTGCTTCGGAATTCAATACTGGCAGAAGTATCACAGACATGAGGAAAAGTCTAAATGAACCAGGTCACCAGCTGTTCCTTTTCGTGCTCGTCTGTTGAGAAAACCTGCCTTGGCGCCCTTTCGGGTTTTCACCAAGGTTGCCCCCACCCTTTTTGTTTTTGTTTTGTCTTTTCTTTCTTTTTTCTTTCTCTGTCTCTTTTTCTTTTCTTTTTCTTCTTTTTTTTTTCTTCTTTTTCTTTTCTTTTTCTTTTTTTTTTCGAAGCGCCCTTTCGGATTTTCACCTAGAGAACAAAGAAATATCTCGATGATGATCGACTCAAAAATATGAGTTAAAGATTTCTGCCATCAGTAAAATGCACTTTCCTTGTGAGGTTAGGCGAAGGCATTATGGGCATCACTTGCCAGTTGATTAACAAATTTCCTAATAGAAATACAACAAGTGACGAAAGCCAGGACTTTGGGCTTTGTAATGAGGTCAGGTGGGGTGTTTTTCAAGAAAAGTTGAGGCTTGAAAGCAAATTTTGATGTTAGGCGTGGCATAACCTGAGATTGCATCATTTTGAGATCATCTCCAAAATTTGAAACTGAGGAGAGTTTGCCCCAGTTTGATTGAATTTTTCTCTTTTTGCATTTTCCTCACTTTTTGCGTTTTTCTTTAAAAACTAAATTTGCCCCAGTGTGGGGTTGGCAATTCTTTTCTTTTCTCTCTTTCAAAATAAATTTGCCCCAGTGTGGTGTTTGCAATTCTCAGGGGTTACCAACCGAAAATTTGTCAATTCTGATGGCTCAAAGGGGACAAGTAGGGATAAAATGTTTTAAGTATAAAAGAAGATGACCTGACCTGCATTTCGCCGTTTGCATGAATTTCTAAAGAAAACTTGCATAATCAAATGAAAAACTTTTTGCACATATCTGAATTGATGGGTTGAGGAAATGTCCGTCCATCCATTTCGGCCAAAATAAGTGTTCCGCCAGGTAATACCTTTTGGACAATGAACGGCCCTTGCCAATTTGGAGCAAATTTGCCTTTAGCTTCATCTTACATTGGCAAAATCCGCATCAGTATCTTATCACCTTCTTCAAATGCCCGCCGATGGACTTTTTTGTTGTAAGCCCGGGCCACACGTTTCTGATAGCACTGACCATAACAGATAGCATTGAATCGCTTTTCATCAATCAAAGTCAATTGCTCATGGCGCTGCTTGATCCAATCAGCCTCTTCCAATTTAGCTTCCATGAGGATTCGTAGCGACGGAATTTCAACTTCAGCTGGTAATACAGCTTCCATTCCATACATGAGTGAATATGGCGTTGCCCCAATCGATCTCCGAATAGAAGTCCGGTACGCCATCAATGCATAAGGCAACTTTTCATGCCAATCGCGATGCCTTTCTGTCATTTTGCGGATAATCTTCTTCAAATTCTTGTTTGCGGCTTCTACAGCTCCATTCATCTGAGGCCTATAAATGGCAGAGTTGCGGTGTCTGATCTTGAACTGCTCGCATATTCCATCCACCATGTCATTGTTCAGATTCTTGGCATTATCCGTAATAAGAGTTTCGGGTACTCCAAAGCGACAGATGATGTGATCTCTCAGGAAATTGGCAACTACCTTCTTCGTGACATGTTTGAATGATTCCGCTTCAACCCATTTAGTGAAGTACTCAATCGCCAGCAATATAAATCGATGTCCATTTGAAGCGAGAGGCTCGATTGTACCAATCACGTCCATACCCCACATTGAACAGGGCCATGGGGCGGTCATGCTATGCAATTCAGTGGGTGGAGCGCGTATAATGTCACCGTGCATTTGACATTTTATACATCTCCGGACAAAATCTATACAATCATGCTCCATAGTAAGCCAGAAGTATCCGGTTCTCATGATTTTCTTCGCTAGCAAATGACCATTCATGTGAGATCCACAAACACCACTATGCACTTCTTTCATCATATATTGAGCTTCATCTTCATCGACGCATCTTAAAAGGTTCAAATCCGAGATTCTTTTGTATAACACTTCTCCATTTAAAAAAAATTTTGAAGCCATTCTACGCAAAAAATTCTTGTCCTTTTTATTAGCATGCGGAGGGTAAGACCCGGTTTTGAGAAGCTCCTTAATGTCATTATACCAAGGAATATCGTCTGCGGACTTGTCCACAACCCAACAGTGGGCAGGTTTGTCTTGAAGTTGAATCTGGATTGGTTCGATCTTCAATTCATCTGGATATTGGATCATGGAAGCTAAGGTAGCCAAAGCATCGGCAAATGCGTTTCGGGTTCGCGGGAGATGTCTGAACTCCAAATTTTGAAATTGCTTGGCCAGGGTGAGCAGACTACAATGGTAAGGCAGAATTTTCGAATCTTTGGTTATCCACTGCTTCAAGGTTTGGTGCACAAGCAAATCTGGATCACTGAAAGCTATAAACTCTTTGATTTCCATTTCTAAAGCCATTTTGAGACAAAAAATGCAGGCTTCATATTCGGCCATGTTGTTTGTACAAGCAAATTGGAATTTGGCAGCGGCAGGGTAATGCTTCCCTTCGGGTGAAACCAAAACAGCTTCAATTCCAACTCCGAGAGAATTCGAAGCTCCATCGAAGAAAAGCCTCCATTCAGGGCTTTGCTCACTTATATCATCTGTGGCGCCTACGAATAAAACTTTCTTATCAGGGAAATAAGTATGAAGTGGTTGATAATCATCATCCCTTGGATTTTCTGCCAAATGGTCAGCTATAGCTTGCCCCTTGACAGCTTTTTGTGAAGTGAAAACAATATCGAACTCTGAGAGAATTATCTGCCATTTTGCCAGACGTCCAGTTAACATCGACTTCTCCAAAAGATACTTCAAAGGATCAGATCAGAAAATAAGATAAGTGGTATGGCTCAATAGGTAGTGTCTCAACTTTTGAGCCGCCCAGGCCAATGCACAGCAGCTTTTCTCAATGAATGAATAATTAGCTTCATACTGCGTGAACTTTTTGCTTAGATAGTAGATGGTTTGCTCCTTCCTTCCAGAGTTATCGTGCTGCCAGAGGACACAACCAACTGCTCCTTCAAGCATAGATAAGTACATGATTAATGGTCGACCCGGCTTTGGTGGCACTAAGACTGGTGGATGCAACAAATAATCTTTAATCTTGTCGAAAGCCTGTTGGCACTCCTCATTCCAATACAACGGCACATTCTTTCTTAATAATTTGAACAACGGCTCGCATGTGGCAGTTAGCTGGGCAATGAACCTCCCAATAAAATTGATCTTCCCTAAGAAACTTTTCACGTCCTTCTGAGTTTTCGGCACTGGCATATCTCGAATTGCTTTGATTTTTGCTGGATCTATCTCTATATCCTTCTTGCTGACAATGAATCCCAACAGCTTACCCGCGGGTGCTCCAAAGGCGCATTTCGCAGGATTTAGCTTCAAATTGTACTTCCGCAACCTTTCAAACAATTTCTTCAAATCAACCAAATGGTCCTCTGCCCTCTTAGACTTGATTATGATATCATCCACGTAGACCTCCATCTCCCGGTGGATTATATCATGAAACAGGGTGGTCATGGTCCTCTGATAGGTAACCCCGGCATTCTTTAAATCAAAAGGCATCACTCGGTAGCAAAAAGTGCCCCAAGGAGTGATAAAAGCAGTCTTCTCCCTATCTTCTTCTGCCATCAAAATTTGGTGGTATCCAGCAAAGCAATCACAAAAAGATTCAATCTCATGCCCGGCGGTATTGTCTAGGAGAATGTGAATATTCGGCAGAGGAAAATCATCTTTAGGATTGGCCTTATTGAGGTCTCTATAATCAACGCAAACTCACACCTCTCCATTCTTTTTTGGAACAGGGACTAGATTCGAAAGTCAAATAGGGTAATGGGAAATAATGACAATGTTGGTTTTGAGCTATTTTTCAATTTGCTCTTTTATTTTGAGACTCATATTTGGTTTGAATTTTCGGGATTTTTGCTTTACGGTTGGAAAGGTAGGGTCTGTGGGCAATTTGTGCACTATCACGTCAGTTGAAATACCAGTCATATCATCATAGGACCATGCAAATACATCCTGGAACATAGTCAAGAATTCAAGCATCTCCTTTTTCTGCCTCTCATTCAAATGAATACTAATTTGCACCTCCTTAACCTCATCCTTAGTGCCAATGTTAACCTTTTCTGTTTCTTCCAGGTTCGGTTTTGGTTTCTCCTCATATTGTTCAAGGTCCTTTGCAAAAGAATCAAATACCTCCTCATTATCACTCTCGCTTTGGAGCTCGGATTCACAGACCTCCAAGTCGTGAGTGATATAGAGATTGCCATTATTGAATTCTAGAATAGTGATATCCAAAGGGTCAAATAGTTTTATTTTTGGCCATCTGAAAGAATTAACGAATGTGGGATAATAAGCAAACAAACATACAACAGACAAATAAACAAGCAATATGAATATAAACAAGCGAATAAACAAAACAATATGACAAGAACAACTTGTGCATTTTCATAAAACCTTTGATTGAAAGCAAATACTAAAGAAAGCAAGCAGAAACAATATTTACATGTGCAAAATTTAGTCAAAAGTAAAGATGCTTTCATTAGCTATTTACAGATGCAAAAGTATTTTCATGAATTAGCATAAATGACAAACCCCTTTAGGTTTACCGAAACTCCTTCTGAATCGGCAGAAACTCGGCTGTCCAATTGGAAATTGATCCTTCTGGGATGTCGGGAAACTCGGCCTCATTTGAGAAACTGTCTTCAAATGTTGCCCCAATGAACAATTGGGCCAAACTAGCTTCGATTTCATCGACTGGGTTAATCTCTGATGTGATCACCTCGGTTGGTAGTGGTAAAGTATAATGCAGTGGTGGAATGTCAAGAGCCCTTTGCCTTCCTTCTTTCTCCGCTCTCTTGCGTTCCTTCATCTCTCTGATGTCCTTAGCAGTCGGTCGGAAACCCAAACCAAATGAATCTTTTTTCTCCACAATCTCCACTGGCTTCAAAATTCCTTGTAGATCTCGTCCCAGCCCTTTGTCAAACTCATATCCTCCACGGATCATTTCTTTAGCCATCATGACACTGGCCTTTGATAGAATTCGCTCCTCGTTTGTTATCCAACTGACGGTGACGATATCGGCTGTGCTATAAGGGGTCACCGTAGCGTTTCGGCTACCCTCTTCTTTGGACTCGGAATCAGTAATTACAAGGCAATCCTCCTCGGCAAAGATAGTTATCAGCTTGTCATTTACTACGAATTTCAGCAATTGATGTAATGAAGAAGGCACAGCCCCAGACTTATGAATCCACGACCTTCCAAGCAGAACATTGTAAACACTAGGAAAGTGCATGACTTGGCAGGTTATTTGAAACTGGGCGGGCCCCATCTCGACTACTAAATCCACTTCTCCTATTGGCTCTCTTTGTGCTCCATCAAAACCTCGAACTATGGTCCCTAAAGGCCTCAGCTTGATATCTTGCAACCCTAGCTTTTCCAAGGTACTCCAAGGACAGATATTAAGCGCAGATCCATTGTCAATTAACACATTCGGCAGCATTTTTCCATTGCACCTCACAACTATGTACAGAGCCTCGTTATGAGCAATGCCTTCCGCCGGCAATTCATCGTCAGAGAAAGTGATTTGTTTTGTGAATAACACATTCCCAACCACGTGCGAGAAATTATCAACCGAAATGTCCCTAGGAATTTGAGCTTTAGTCAATACTTCGATCAACGCATCCCTATGCATATCTGAAGAAAAAAGTAAATCCAACATGGATATCTGGGCAGGCGACTTGCTTAGCTTATCGACTACATTATATTCACTTCTCTGGAGCCTTTTAAGAAAATCCAAGGCTTCTTTCTCGGTGATTGTTGGTTTAACGGGCGGCTCGGAGTTACTTGCTTGAATCGGAATGGTAGCTTCAAATGGACTTGCAGTCTTCCCTGATCTGGTGACCACTGACACTTCTTTCTTCGCAATTGACTTTTCCCCAATCTGTATGACAGGTTCATCGTAGTTCCATGGCACTTGTTGCAGATTTAAAACAGGTTCCTGTTTCGGGAACTCGATGACTACTGGCTCCAAAGCCTCACTCTCAGCTGGCGTGAGATCCAAGATAAAAGGCTTTTTATCCTCTTCGAATGGCAACTCTATGACAAATGGTTGGTCTATGACCCCAAACACTTCAGCTTCCCTTGCCAATTTTTTGACTTGTTCCACGCACTCCGCGTCGTCCAGAATGACCCCAATGGTATTAGCGTGTTCCGGCAAGGGGTTGCTATTTACATTCGGCCCTTGTGCCTCCCTTTTTCGGATTACAATCTCCCCGGCTTCAATCATATCTTGAATTCTATGCTTGAGAGCCTTGCAATCAATGGTTGCATGTCTGGGGACCCCTGAATGATAAGCACAGACGGCTTGTGGGTTATACCCAGCAAATATGCCATATGGGTAGGTCGGAGGGGGTACCGTACCAATTTTCCCGGCAGCCTTTAATTGTTCATACAATTGATCCAGAGGCCTGCCTAGGTTAGTGAAAGTTCTGCTGCGGGCTTGGTTGTAAAGTTCAGGAGGTTGAGGATGGTTATAAACAGGTCTATTTGGAGGAGGAAATCTTGGGTTATATGGAGGGCGATGTCGGTTTTGGGGTGGATTTGGTTGAGAAATTTGAAAAGGAGGTACAGGTGGGTTAGGATAGCTTGGGCGAGGTCGAGGGTGGTGGATATTGGTAGTATATACATGGTACGGATTTGAATAGTAAGGGTAATGTGGTTGGTAGGTTGGATTGTGTTGGTATCGGGGTCTGGGTGAAGAGTTTTGGTTCCAAATAAAAGTTGCATCCCCCTCTTTCTTTTTGAACTGCGGCTTTTTCCCACTATTTCCTTGCCCTTGCAAAGCTTCCACTTGTGACTTCAGGGCAGAGGCGTTAACAATTTTCCCGGTTCTCACAAAGTCATCAAACTCCTCAAGTTTATTTACAATTGCAGCAAACGAACATCCGGTCATACGGAAAATCTTTTCGAAGTATGGAGGATCGTGCGCCTTTATGAATGTGCGAATAATTTCATCCTCAGTCATCGATGGCTCCACTTTCGCAGCTATCTTTCTCCATCTTTTGGCATATGTCTTATGATCTTAAGATGGTCGCCTCTTCGTTCCTTCCAAAGTAGTCTGGGTTGGTGCTAGCTCGCAATTATACTCGTATTGTCTGATGAAAGCGTTGGACAGATCGAGCCAGGTCTTCACCTCCTCTGGCTTTAAATTTGAGTACCAATTGAGAGCGTCCCCTTCTAGACTCTTCGGAAATAACCTCAATGGCAAGTTCTCATCATCCACCGGCTTGCCCAACTTGTTGGCAAACAAACGCAGGTGTGTTTTAGGGTTGCCTGTTCCATCTTATTTGTTGAACTTAGGGGTCTTGAACCCCACCGGCAGTTGTACGTTTGGAAACAGGCACAGATCATCGTAATCTAACACCCCTTGTTTGCTTAAACCTTGACTTTTCCGGATGAATTCATCGAAACGATCCAAGCGTTTAAGTAGCTTCATATCAACCTGGGTAGACGACTCTCCCATTTCTGGCTTGTTTTGAAAAGTGTGTTCCGGCACAACAGGCTCTGCGGTAGTCTGATAAAAAACTGGTGGATTTAGATGCATGTTTGGATCGTCTTGAGGCAGAAATCCTTGCCCATAAGGAGGATAGAACGAAGGATTTTGAGTATAAGCATATTGTAGGTTGACAATTCCCTCAAACGTGGTTTGAATTGGAGGAATAACAAATGGTAACGTGGTTTGAATGGGAGGAATAATAAATGGTTCGGATTGTGGTTGTGTGGCGGGCACAGGCTCAGGTTGCACTCCGCTACTAATGAGCTCGTCGATTAACTTCTTTTGAGCGGCCATTTCGGATGCCATTTCCCCAAATTTGGTGAGTAATTCAGTCAACTGAACCCCAGGACTTGCGGCTTCCGGCTGGGTAGTTGCAACGGCCTTATCGGACGATTCTGGCTGAGTACTCATGTTTACACGATTCCTTTGGGCCTTACTTCGGGATCGCGTAATAATGGGGCTTTTCCGAAAAGCTATTTTGAAATTTTACCTGAGAATGCAAAAGACTTCTTTAGATAAATCAATCATTACTAGATTTCTGCAATTTATTCAAAAGAGAAAAAGAAAAAGACATGAGTTAGTAATTATTCAAACAATTCGGATGCATGTCCTATTTGGGGGGCCCTTTTTGTGCCAAGGGTAGGCCTAGTATGATGCAACACTTTCGAAATGAGACCCGTTAATCAAACCTGTTATTTGACAAACACTTTGTGAAAAGGGGAGAGATTCATTTCATTACAGAAGCCAGATACATCTGTTTACATCATATCACGAAGGCAATCTCGTACAAAATCACCAAAATTCCTAAGCCTATCTAGTACAGAGTCTTTACTTTCTCTAGCATATGGCATCTTGACACGTTCGGCTTGATCATATAATTCCCCACATTTCCGCTTCATCTCTTGGCGCCTTTCTCGCTCCTTCTCATATAACCTCTTGTTTTCTTCTGCCTTTTCTTTGTGCGTTTCGACGGATTTCTTCAACTGTAACACCTCCATGTCCTTGGCTTTAACGATGGCTCTCAACTTCTCAATTTCCTCGTACGGCTCATGTTGCAACCTTTGCGTGGTGGAGTCTTTTAACCAATCATCATATTGTGAAATTATTACACCCTTCTGTTTGAGCTCCGGAAGATAATTAATACTTTTATCGTCAGATATTGTTCTCCAATCTTCAGTGATTTGGCTCTTCATAGGGATCTCTTTTGGACATACTCCTTTATCAAAGAAAACGGTGACTTCACTAAACTCGGAAATAGACGGTGGTCCTTGAATGCGCCCTAGTTGTCTGAGAAACCTTTTCGGGGTATATGAGACGATTCCTTGAGTACCCAGCAAGAGAACACGTTCGGATGTCTTAGTGCGAAGTATCGGTTCAAAACAGTCTGTCCAATCTAATACCCACCTAATGTTGGAATCTTGTAACTTTTCCAAGTAATCCACATATTCGGATGTGTTCTTTGGCAGATCTCCTTTGTTGACTCTTTTGGGATGTGTGACTATCCAATTATATCCAACCACCGACAAACTATTGGCAACGGATGCTTGTCTCTTAAAATGTCCCGTAGCCCATATGTATAAAACCAAGTTCGCCCCATGGAAGAACTTTTCTCCCTTTCGACAACCAGTACAAGCTAAGAAAATATCTGCGAGAATGGTCGGGACTATAGAACATTGCTTACCCTGAATTCCCAAGAAAAGGTCATTCACAATTTTTGCTGATTTAAAGGCTATCTTTTGATCTTTTCGCGGAAAGAAATAGGTCCCAGCCATAACTACCCCATATACTAGTGGCCTTTTGCGCTCCCATATGGCTTTGGAAGTGAACACAAAATCCGTCAAATGCCTCTCGAATCCGTCGCGTGATAGAAAACGTTCAAACAGAATATTCACGGCGACGCCCTGATCTGACCCTCATAGCACGAACTCTTTCAATCCTATAATTTGACAAAATTCGGCCTTGTCGGAAGCAAATGGAAATACCAAGGCAGTTCCACGTGTGGGTAAACCAAGGAGACCAGCTACTTCTTCGAGTGTTATAGTCATTTGCCTATTGCCTATTCTAAAAGCAGTACACTCGGGGTCCCAAAGATGAACTAAAGCCTCTACCAAATAATTGTTGGATTTGATCTCCTTAAAGTCTCCAATTGGTCCTAAAAATTGGGCTACTTGATGCAATTCACTAGGTAACATGAAGATGGGCCATTGTTGAACCTCAGTTGACGGTATTAACAATTGGTAGATGCGGCGAGGGCAAGCCATCTAAAATGGAGAAAGTAGTTCGTCAATTACCTTACCTACGAGTCTCATTCCTCCAGTTATGCGATAACTTAAACATGCAGTCCCTTAAAGGGTTAAATACCCATGGGACACAAAAAGGGTTGGTTTTATTCCTAAAAACGGGACTCCCTACGTGGCGTTCCCTTTCTAGGGTTTATGCATGATGCCACTTTATTAAAACAATAAAATATGCAATTTGAAATAAAACGTGACCTAAGGAACCCTTTATTTGCCAGGGTAGGCCTAAAATGGTATGGCATTATGAATTTATGAACAAAATATACCGAAATTTCTAAACGTGCAATAGCTTCTCTCTATAAGGGTAGGTCCTAAAAAAGGATCGTGCCAGACCTCTTATTTCCTAACGTTTGAGAATGCAAAAGACAAGAGACAAGGAAAGTCAGTTCAACACATAACCACATAACACGTTGGACAATTTAGATAATATAAAAAGTAACAAAGATATATAAGAAAAGGGGTGGGATCCCTCTCCTCGTGAATGGTGTTCCTAATAGGGTAAGGTAGACTCTACCCTAGGCAATTCTAATATGGATGCATGAGGTATGGCTCACTAATGCATCTAGACTCGATAGGTCATAGGTCCCCGAGCCTTCAGACTTGGAAACCAAGGGTCATCAATCCCAAGGTTCTGTGTCGGTGGCTCGAGCGATTCCCCAAACACCGCTACGCACATATCGTGTCACGGCTACGTATTTGAGTGAATCTATCAAAAAATCCTCAATCTTCGACTAAAAGCTAAAGGCTAACAACCCACAGCTTAAAGCGGAAGATTGAGTGACCCATTGGATCATGCTACACACACATCGTGTCGTGATCACACGTCCAAGTGGGTCGCCTAAAATCCTAATAGGGTGGAGTGGCGTGACAAGCCACTAAAAGAAAAAAAAAGAGGGATGAAAGAAGAAAAACGTATGCTCGTATGCTACTGCTCGTTTTGGAGGGGAGGGATCAAAAACCAACGCGAGGCTCTAAGGTGATGTCCCCCACCCAAATGCAATGCAAAGCGCGAGATAAAACAAGTACAACATACATCCAAACAATCAATCATACATGCGTGAGTGAGGGAATAGTTTGATACGCGCTCGAGGCAAAAAAAATCCTAAAATGGAAAATGCAATCCTAATATCCAAATGCTATGCATAAAAAGGGTAGAAAAAGGAAAAGAATAGCTAAATCAAATGCTTGGACCCACTTAGGAAGTCCCCAGTGAAGTCGCCAAGCTGTCGCGCCCCAATTTTGAAATGGGTGAAAGTAGTGTGTGAAATATGTATGTGAACGTGTGCGAAAAGTGAAAATAAAGGCCGTGGGATTGTGAAATGCGACGGTTTGGCCAAATAAAGTTCAAAAAGGGTTTTGGATGAAAAATGGAGTCGCCACTTGGTATGGAGTTAGGGTGTACCAAGTCACCCAAAAATGATTTTTGTTTTGTTTTTTGAAAGAAAAAGTAAGCAAACCCTTTTAAAGAACTTTTAGGTTTACGCAATCAAAGAAAGGGATCGGGGGTCACATTTGATAAGGGAGAAGGCAAAGGCAAAGCCTAAGGCACTCCCTTATCCTAGCCAAAGCTAGTTGCGTGATTTAGCCCCACTTTTCCTAATTCTTCTACCCAAAATATGCGTTGCATGATGGATATGACTAATGGATATGAAAAAGAAATGCAATCCTAAATCTAAAATGTCTCTTACGAGGCTTTTTGGTCCCAACCACATGAGTTGTGGTGGCCAATAAGGAAAGTTCTCATAGAGGTCGCGAACGATGCAAATGAAGACTCAAATATGAGTGCAAGTGTGAAAATGTAAGAAAACGTGCATGTGTGCGTATGTAAGACAAGTGCATGTGTGCAAATTGGGAAAATAAAGGTGCTTGTGTGCAAATGGATGAAAATATGATAGTAGATACATATAAATGCAATTGGGTGCAATTTGTGAGGTAGAAAAACAAGTGAGGGATAGGAAAAAGGTGGTGAGAAAGTGTGAATTTGAGAAAATGTGGTTAAAAGAGTGAGGAGGTGATATGATAAAAATGAAAGTGTATGACCCTAAAGGAATGCATCAAGTCGGGCACGGGAAGGATTCCTAACTTTACGACTTTGATTTTCCCTTGGATTAGAAGGAAGAACTAGCGTGCTAAGGCTATTTTGTAGCCAAACTCGCTCGTTTCCCTTATCGA